CCCCAAAACCCCAAAACCCCTTCTAGTCAATTTCATTTATGTAGTAGTAAAATGTATTTTAAAGTCAAGTAAAATAATTTTAAATTCTATGAGTAGCATCATATCAAATCATTAAAGTTCCGCGAATAATAAATCTCACTAACCTTTAGGAGATTTTTTGAGGACTAGAGACATATTTGGCCACCCAATAAAACTCCTTTATAAAGGTAAATCTACTAACTAGACGATGACTGGTGGGTTTCTTACATTACTATCCTATTTCATAATAGCAGTCTTCTTTGCGCTTTAAGTTCTTGATGTATACAATCGTAAAAGCTCAATTAATACTGTGACACTCTATAAAAGTTATGACGACTCAGTATAGACATTTAATGCCACAAATTTTGATTTCGCTTTTCAGTTATTTCAGTTCTTTGGCAATGATAAACCAATCGATAATTTTTTTAGGTATGTCAGTCTAAGGGCTTCACAAATAGATCAGGTGTTGGTGCCTAATAGTGAAGGAGTTCTGGAACAATAAGTAAAATTTACAGATTTGGAGATTGTTCCTTGTACTAAGGACAGATTATTTGGATCTGATTACTTTTAGAAAATACTTGACTAGAAAAATCAGATGTTTTGTCTGAGAAGGAATGATAGCATATATATAACTGGAAGTACGAGCATATTTTCGCTAGCTGTCGACGCTTGTAACTAAAATTACTTGGATCAATATTACAAAGGATAAAAATGCGAAAAAAATTAGACTACAATTCTCAGAACTCTAATGAATATGGTTTTTCTAACTCACACAACTAGTAGATACTTTGATCTCAGTGAATTTGAGAAAGATCCAATTAAGGTTAATGTGGATTCTGAATATCATTTCTTCGTCAGTAGCCTATTTAGATAAACTAACTTCTATCTTAAAATTAATAAGGCGACAAGGAGTGACTCTATGATTTCAAGTCTATTAGAATATCATGAGACTGATTACGTAGAATGCCATGTAGGGAGAGAAATGAGTAATGATAGAATAGATGACTCTAAGCCCTACATATCAGTAGCATTTATGCTTACTAGTGAATCAAAAATAATCGATAGATAGGTGTTTACTATTGTATAGGCACTCGCTAATACAGGCGGTATAATAGGCATAGTTTTCGGACTCTTCTCAATACTGATAGGACCTATTTAGGAATTTTTCTTTTTCCAAAGTTTTATAGCTGATATGTTTCTGACTCAGGACAATCCAGCTGCTGAGATCTAGGAAAAAACAGTAAAAGATAAACTTTATAACAAACTGAACATAAAGAGACTTCCTACATAGGATATGATCATTGATCTAATAAATTAAAAAAATGGAAGCAATTCGACGAGTAAAGTGTTTATATACGCGCATTTGATAGACCAAATCGTAAAGAGACAGGCTTTTGTCTATTAGACAAAAGAGCTGTTTGCAAAGTTTGTTCGGACATTTATCTTTAGATGCAAGCAGTATAAAAGCAAAAGAGATCATGAATTTAAAATAGCAAAGGAATAAGTTTTAAAATAATTTGATATTGAGACTATTCTTAAACAAGTAAAAGTATCATACTCAATTTCTAAGGTACTTTTATCCAAGTATCAAAGACACTTAATACCCTATTTCAAAAGAAACTTGATCTCATAGATTGCTGATAAGCACTTAGTATAAAAGCAGGTTTAGACTCAAGAAAATAAGTAAAATTAGAAAAAACAAGAGATCATTAGAGTATAAAAAGAAGAGAAAATAAGGAATTACATGGCATAAGTATTTACAGGGCTAAATGAGCAGAATGAAAAGGATCAGAGAATTCTAAAGATGCTGTTCGTTGGGTCAGACGAATAAGAGCTTAAGCTGAATTTGAAGCAAAAAATGCTCAATGGATTACTTAGACAATTTTCAGTATAATCAGCAAGACAAAAGAGAACAAGATCATTGAATGAGTCTAATATCACAGATCTAGATAATACTTCCACTGTTATTAGAACCAGGCCTATAATTGAGACTTAGATCACTACACATACTTAATCTGTGAGGATGAACAAAAAGATTCCAAGTGTATTCCAGCGTCAAGGTCAAGATGAGGAGTATGGGGATGAAATAAAGCTAGCGATTTGAAAACTTAAAATTTGCCATCAAATTGAATTCATTATGACAAAAAAAGATGTAAATATTTGAGCTCATAATTATTAGTATCTCTCAATTTAATCTTAATTTCATAATTCGGGGGTTTTGGGGTTTTGGGG